CTCTCTTGAAAATGAATATTTTATATTTTAATATTCTTTGTATCTGAAAAGAATAAAGCTTTCATCCACTTTAGATGGTCAAAAATAAGACTAGAAATGGCAGATTTTATCTAGATGTCTCAAAATAGGGCTAAGCACCCTAAAGAAAGGGTTGGGACGACATTCAACCATTAGGAACCACCTATTACCACAGGAAACACTCCCCACCTTGATGGGAAGTTTAATAATTTTATCCCTTAAAACATTAAGGGTTCACTGGGCTGTAGCCTATTCTTTAGTCCAGCATTATTTTCTTTTGCTTTGCAATCATTGCTCTTTAGTTTTTATGACACTTGGTCAGGTGAAGCAAAAAAACAAAAAAACAAAAGTTCATGTGCTCATTACTACTAAACATTTCATTTATCATTTCTAATTTTAACTCATAAAGCTAACTATAGTAATGCCACTACTCTCAAAATAAAAACACCAGGCAATCTCAACCATCTGAAACACAGCCATGGATCCAGCAGCAAATTAAAAAAAAACAAAAAATATATAAAAATGTCACAAACTAAACTCTTGGGCCTTATTTCCCAGAGGGATCTGTCTCAATCACACGGACTTGGAGTTGTCTATAAATGATGGATATCTGGCTTTCCCCAAGTACCCTTCAGGTCTTCACTGAGAAAGGGAACAACTAGATAAAAACCAACAAAGGAGGGAGAAGGAAAGAAAAAATTGCTAGTAATTGACCATTGAAAAGTAGCAAAATCACTATCAATACTCAGCAGTCTGAAGCCATTTAATGTTAAAAATAATTTAAAAACTTGTTAATAGTTTCAGACTATATGAAGCAAAGTACAATGATTACATTCTCAATGATTCCCACTTACGGTGGTAAAATTAAATTATATTCAGATACACTATTTAGAAAAGAATAAATATTTATGTTAAATCTTTCAATGCTTAAAAGGATAAGCTTCAGGTATAAAAATATGTATATAAAAAAGTCACATACATAAGCAGTTACCACTGAGTTATTCTTTATTCTGCACAAATGGTATGTTATCTGATAAATCAAAGGCAGCAGTTCTGAAAGAAAAAAATTGTTTTAAATGAATTCTAAAAATATTTATAGGTACATAAAATGTCATTAGTTTTGCTTCCCAATTTTTCACAGATATTTGACAATTCCTTATTAAAATCTGTTTAATACATATACTTGTTACGTATTAATGAGGTCACTATCTTCTTTCTCACCTCAGAATTTGTCTTTTCAACAATTCCCATACTCTTTCCTCTAAACTCAGAGTAAGAAATTACTTACATTCCAAAACTAAATTTTCCACCTTGGTATTCCACTTAAGGCTATTCTGCCTTCTTTAGGACCTTGGTACTTCATTCACAGAATTATCAGCCTAGCCCCTACCTCCCAAAACACAAAATACTTCTTCACTCTACTAACTTGACTTGATCCTATCTTCCTCTTATCATTCAAATTTTCTTCATCTCACTTTGTCAAACTTCTCAAATCTATACATATTATTTTCACTAACTACTGTTGCCAGAGTTTCAAAATCCAGTGGCCCTTCATACTTCCTAATTTTCTTTGATTTCTAAGGCATATAGAAAAACTAGTTTTCTTGGTTTTTACAACACTGCACTAGCCCAACTCCTTTAATGAAACTCTTTCCTTCTAATGCTCACTGTTAATGTAGGTGCTTCCTAAGAATCAGCACCAGTCGTTTTGCTCTTTTCTGTGACTGCACCACTCTCACGATGTCAGTAATCATCCCCATGTCCATGACTGCCTTATCTCTCCAGACTGACCTCTCCCTAGAGACATCATCTTCATCTGTAACTATCCACTGGACACTGTCTGGTATCCCCAAAATAAACAAGGCTAATAAAACTAGAATTCACATTTCTCTGCCCCAAGCTTGACTTCTCTATCAACTTCCTGTTTTTCTTTCATTCTTCTCCCAGTCACCCATGTTTAAGATTTCCAAATCATCTTGGAGTCCTTCTCAATTCTCCCTCCAAATTTCAACATGCACTACTTTCTACCAATTCTTTCTTCATCTTCACATCTACCACTACCTGCCATTCTTATAGTCACTATTTCAGCTCAGGCTTTAACCACTTCATATCTGGATTACTATTAAAAAATGCTCAACCCTAGCTATAGCTTTCCCCACTTTCCGTTTTTTAATCTATACTGAACACAGACACTAGATTACTTATTTTCCAGCTATTTCTCTCTGCTATCCAACCCAAATATTTTGTTCAAAAAGGCTAAGTCAACTTCACTGTTTCAAGAATATACATTGCACATGCCTTTTTTACATCCTTCACATCCCCTGTTCCCGACCTATCTATATATTTTTGAGAGCAGTTCTGGGTAGTAGGTAAAAGCATGGACTCTGGAGCCAGGACCCGGATACCACTTCCAGGTCTACCATTTATAGAGTGACTTTGGGCAAGTTACTTAACGTTTCTGTACCCTGGTTTCCTCCTCTAAAAAATGGATAATAATAGTATGTATATGTAGCTGTTCTGAGGAATAAGGAAGTGAATACATTTAAGGTTCCTGGCACACAACACAGTATCAATATTAGGAATTATTAATGTTTCAAGGCTGAGCTCAATTGACACTCCTTTATGAAACCTTTCCTGATAGCTTCAAACCACAGCAATCTCCTCTTTCCTGTATTTCTAAAATATTTAGTGTAAAGCACAAAAGTTAAAGTATTAAACAGGGTTTCTCAATAGCGGCACTACTGACATTTGGGGCTGGGTAATTTTTTGTTGTGGCAGCTGTCCTGGGCACTGTAGGATGGTTAGCAGGTTCCAATCCTTGGCCCACCACATGCCAGTTGTAATCCACCCCCTAGTGAAACCTAGAATGTCCCCAACATTGCCAAATGTCCCGAGGAGCAAAATTATCCAGTTTGAGAGCCACTAGTATAACAGAAGATAAAATACATGAAAGCACTTTGTAACCTCAAAGCAATATACAATGGTCAAGTAGTTATTACCCCTTAGCACTTATCAAAGACACTTTTGCATTATTTAACTGATTTGAAATTCATATGCACTTTAATTGTCCAATTAGTTTTAACAGCCTTTAGGATCATGTTTTACTTATTCATTTCCACAATCATACCCAATGGAAGGCGTTGGACATCTGTCAATTGACAGATATGACATACTAACCTGAGACAGAACACAGTAAACTGGAAAGAGCATGGGATTTGCTGTCAGAAGATCAGGTTCAAATCTTAGTTTTGCCCTTACTTATTTTAGAACTTTGGGCAATTCATTAAAGTCTATGAGCCTCAGTTTTCAGTCCTATAGAATCTAACATCTATATAGGCAGCTATGATATGCAAGTGTGATCAGGTATGTGAAAGAAGCATTTATATTACAGAATGATTATATACAAAGAATTACATATGTAAAAAGACAAAAACGATTATACCATATATACCTCTTTTATCCAGAATCATCAGGGATTTTATAACCTTATTTTCTAGGTAACTGAAGCTTATGCCTTTAAGTGTTTAACTTTCAAACTGAAACTATTTTGATGGAAGTTTTCTGTATTCAGAAGTATAATATATATTGTTTCTTCTAAAACAATAGGTACTGAATATAACTTAACTTTTCCTTACTGATTCTGGGCTATTGTTATAAACATTAATTACTATTCTAACATATAGCTCCGCAGAGTTTAGCATATATGAAATGTTACGGGCCAGCATTAAATAAGTGCTACACTTCATTTTGTTCTACCGCAGTCCTCATGCCCCTTCTATTGCCCCTCTAATTTTCCATGGATTAGAAAATGAAGTAATTAAGTTTGGTGAAGTGGAATGTAAAATGAGAAAAAATACACTTTGAAGGAGGGGTTCAGAAGTACTCCTCCTATGACGAAAGTTCATAAACGGGAGACTTCATGGCATCTACTCTGATTGCTCATAAGTATTTTTTAACTTACTTTCTGATTCTCAGTGTTTTGGATAACTGAAACTGCTGGGAAAGCAAATTATTTTTCTACTCTAAATATGTATATGTAAAGATAGTACCATATGTTGTAACACATATCTGTGTATAACAGAAATGTACATAGAACTAATCTACTGATAATTTTATAATTTTCCATGAATGCTTCCTGATGTCTCTCTTTTCTCTCTATATATAAACACACACACACACACACACACACACACACACACACACACACGCACACACACACATACATATGTAATTTAAAGTTACAACAGATCAAAAACCATACTTTTTGAAAGAAAAAAAAGAGCCCGAGTTCATGAGGTAAGTCTCATCATAAGAAAACCAAAAAGTAAAGGAAAAATATATTAAATTTCCTTCAGAATCTCTTGACTGAACTCTTTCAAGACAAATATACATGCCTGCACTGATATGAAGACAAACAGAAAGTATTTTCCAGTTAAAAAAATTCATTCACATTTATTTCTAAGCAAACGTCAAATTTTAGACAAAAAAGGAAGATTTAATAAAATTTAACAGGAGAAAATCAAAGCCTAACTGAAAATTGCACTGTGAGTCATGAGCATTTTGTTCTTGCACTATAAATTATATGGGCCATAGAAAAACCTGTTCCCCCTGACACTTCCAGAATGGATGTATTATTTTTAGATACATAATATAAATACTAATAATGTAATAAAAACAAACTTATTTTTAGTAAGTCATGATACCTCTGTCAGATGCTGTAAAACCTGTAAGATGGGGGGTAGGGGTGAAAGTTGGGGGGAAAAAGAAATCAAGTCAAAATATACTTTTTTAAAAAGGCTGTTTTTGGTTTATTTTTGAAACTGTTAGTGGCTTGAAACCAAATAAAAGGTGAAAGAGAGAAGACAGAGAAAAAGCAAGGAAGGAAAAAAAGAAGGGAGAGAGGAAGGAAACTAGAAAGAAAGAACACATGGCATATCTAACAGTACTTAGAAGCTACTGGATAAAATTATCTAGCCTTGTACCTGACAACCGTAGTCCAAAAGAAGCTGCAGTATATCCAAGTTTTCGTTTTCAATAGTTATGGTAACAGCATTTCTCCCAAGCACATCTACGCAATTTATGTTCAAGTCACCTGAACTGTTTTCCTCCAAAATCTTTTTAACCATATAATAGTCACCTAAATAACAATATATAAACATAATTTAATATCCATGACATTAAATAAAAATGACTTTAAAGAAAACTTAGCCTGTTGATTTAAATAACCTAAACTCATTTTTGTATATGGAAATGTGCAAAGAAAACGTGAACATTTCTGTGCTGAAAACATATACCCTAATATGTACATCGCTGCAAACAGAAAACAGAAAAATTTTAAATATGCAGTTTGAAATAAAACTTGTTAGTTTAAAATTCATAACTGATGATTATAAGGAGAGAAGCTTTTAGAAGATATTTAAAATAAAGAATGTCCACAGACTGGAAGCTAATAAAATAAGATAGAAGAAGCTTAAAGGATTTAAGTTTTACATCTCAAATACATACACACATGTACTCAAACATCAAAATGGTTAAAAATGAGACCTAGCAAGAAGTGAAGGGTATTGTGAAGAGTTTTAAAGGGGAAACATTTGGTATAGCAGTGTGAATGTCTATATACCAGGGGTAATACACATACACACACACACACACACTACACACACACACACACACACACACACACACACACACACACACACCAGAGGTAATATACATGCACATACACTACACACACACACACCACACCAGGGGTAATACACATACACACACACTACACACACACACACACGAGGTAATATACATGCACACACACTACACACACACACACACACACACACACCAGGGGTAATACACATACACACACACTACACACACACACACACCAGAGGTAATATACATGCACACACACTACACACACACACACACACCAGGGGTAATACACATACACACACTACACACACACACNCATACACTACACACACACACACCACACCAGGGGTAATACACATACACACACACTACACACACACACACACGAGGTAATATACATGCACACACACTACACACACACACACACACACACACACCAGGGGTAATACACATACACACACACTACACACACACACACACCAGAGGTAATATACATGCACACACACTACACACACACACACACACCAGGGGTAATACACATACACACACTACACACACACACACACACACACACACACTAGGGGTAATACACACACACACGCATGCACGCACGCATGCTAGATTAAATGACCAGGCCAAAATCAGAATACCTCAAAGTGAAATTCTGGCTTGTCAGGACCATGAAGATTACCATCTGCCTACCTCTAGCTCACATCAAAACAGTTGACCCATGAAGGAAAATGAGAATAATTATGGAGGTGATCATTTTCACAGATGGCCCACTTTATCTGCTGACCAACGCAGTAATAAAGGGACTAAATCAAAAGTGAAATACTAATAGAGAAAGAAAGCAAGGTGGATTTTATTTCATTTTACTTTTTAAACATAAGATGAATAAACCATTTTAAATGACTCACAAATACAGCTGTTCCTTACAAGTCTATGAATAAGAAATAGGAAAAGAACAGAATAGAAACCAGAAGGAAAAAAGACACGGTTTCTTGATACAGAGAGAGAAAACTCTAAAACTAAACTAAGTAAGAAAGGTAACAGATTTTTGTTCAAAATTTCAAATAAATTTTCTATTTTTAATCAATGACATTAAAAGTTACCACTCATTTTGGAAGAAGCTTTCTTGATGGCATATTTCTTGTTCTCCTAAGAGGAAAATGAGGCACAAAAAGAAGTATTTTCCTCATAGCACTAATAATTAAATGTTTAGACACTAATGTTCCATAGCAAAAACTTACAAAACTCTTCAAAATTGAAGCTTTTAACCACTGATAATGGTTGAACTGATAATGAACACACAGATAGACTCGTGAAAACTTATCACTATTACTGGAAAATAAGATTTAAAACCTTTTTTCAGATGAATTTATTTCATTATCCTTTTAGTAGAATGTTATACTCTACTTTTTCTTTGGTTTCATGTGTCTAGGCAAGGATTAATTTTTTATTTATCCTGCTTGGGACTCATTAGGCTTTCTCAAACTAAAAGGACTTCTGTACTTTATTAGCTATGCAGTACTTTTAGCCATTGTCTCTTCAAATATTGCTTCATGCCTATATTATCTTCTTTCCTATTGGCACTTCACTACTAGACATTATGTTGGATCATCTCATTCCAACTCCTTTGTCTCTAAAGATTTTTCCTCTTTCTCTCTTTCCTGCATTCTGGGTAATTTCTTCAGCTTTCTCTTCTAGTCACTTATTCCTGCTTCAACTATTTCTGCTGATTAACCCATTCATTGATACTGTTAATGACTGCATTTTAGATTTCTATCAGTTTTACTGGATTCCTTTCCAAATATTTTGATTTGTTCTCTGCTTTTCCTTTCCTTTCAGTTTTTATCATTTTAAACATACTTATTTATGGTCTCTATGATAATTATCTTAAGGTCTTAAGTAGTTAATTCTATTGTGTCTACCGACTTGTGGTAATAATGGGTGACTGCCTTCTGAATTTTTTAATTGGGTATTGCAAACTCTTTCATACAGTTTAACTGCGGAAATCCTGGCAACCTGGTTTGAAAGCTCATCCAAGTAAGGATGTTTTGTGTTTGCTCCTTCCAGATAACTCAGAGGCTTTGCTACCCTATGAATCCTTTTCATATTAATTTCTTGGTTTAGATTTTCCTAGACCATGTAGGTGTATTAATTTAAAACCCAAGTCAACAAGGGGCAGGACCATAGTTAAAATTCTTAGGGGAGTCTTATTTACAAACTTTTTTGGTAGTCTCATTGCACTGGTGGACAGGTTCTTTTCCTCATCTACCCTTTTGCTTAAAGGAATTGTCCTTCAAAGATCCTGGCTTTATGCTTGGATATTGCTCCAATTTCCCACTTTGTTGGGAATTCAAGGCTTGTAACCTACCTCCAGACAGGCATTAAAATTCAAATTCCTACAATGCCCAAACAAATAACTCTTGTCTGACCCACACAGAAGACAAAATGTTGGCTCAAACACTCCTGTTTTTCGGTCTTTTCTTTACTTTTATATCCTTAGTTTTCTCTTACTTCCCTGAAGTTCAGCTGTTCATTTAAATGAATGTTAAATTATAGTTAGCATTTCTTGGTGACTGAATCAGAAGAGTTTTTAGATCATCTAGTCAGCCATATTACTAGAGACAAGTGTATAAAGAACTATATAATTCTTAGGAAAGTTTATAAATTTCAGGTATGGCAAATGGACAAAAACAACTGTTCCAAGTTTTTAAAGCTGGGATTGGTGTTTAAATAGTAATTGTACTGCAAATGTCAGATACTCCAGCTTTAAGGTTTGACTGTATTCCATTACAGTCAGGGGGCTATACAAGAAAAAAAAATCTTAAAAGTCAAAACCAAATTAATTTTCAGCATTAAAAATAAAATTCTATCCTGACATAGCTGACACATTCATGCAAATGAAAAGTTACCTATAAGGAACCTAGAATGGTTTCTAAGTATTTCACTTAAGTTTATATTTGCAAGCCATTTAAAACAACGCACTGTGTTCAAAAAGCCTAGAACAGTCTTAACAAATATGATGAGTGCATATGTACAAAGAGGTTAGTGAATTTAAACTACATAGCAAGAAGCTAATTATAGAACAAAGATTACAATTCAAAATGCCATATATCAAATACATAAATGCTTTTCATTTCACACTGAAGTTGCTTTTAAGAGTTACATCTTTTTCTTTTTTAAAATATAACATAAAGAAAGAAATGCAACACAATATGTTTACTTTTTTGGCTAGATGGTTGTCTTTTTTCAGTCAAGGAGTTCAATCAATTCTACCAGTGGACCAGTTCAACAGCAAGTCTCTCAGCCCACTCTCCAAAATTATCTCCCAATATTCATCTACTTGTATCCATGTAAACTGCTGCCTCCATCTCCCTGCAAGCCATCATCTCTCCTGGACTCCACAATAGCCTCTTTACTGACATGGCTGCTTCACTCTAGTACAGGGTCAACAAACTTTTCCTGTGAAGGGCTAGACGTATAGTAGTATTTTAGGCTTTGCAGGCTATACTATCTCAATTGCAAATACTGAAATCTGCTATTGCAGCACAAAGCAGTCACATGTACACAAATGAGCTCCAATGAAACTTTATTTATGGACATGTAAATTTAAATTTCATATAATTTTGTTATGAAATATTATTCTTTTGATTCATGCCCAACCATTTGAAATGCACAATGTAAAAACTGTTCTTAGCTCTCAGGCCTTACAAAAACAGGTGATGGGTGGATTTGGGCCATAGGGCCATAGTTTGTCCACCCCACTCCCCCACAGCTCCACCCTTAAAACCCACTTTCCACCCAGAGTGTTCTTTTTAAAATTCAAATCATACGAAGTTTACCATACTCAAGATTTTCTATCACACTTAAATGCCAAAATCTTTACTGTGGCTTACTAAAGCCCTACGGGACCCAGGCCTTGCTACCATTCTGGATTTACCTGTACCACTCTCCTACTCACCTATGATCTTTCTAGACCAATGTTTCCCAGACTTCCAGTTGCAATCCATTAACGGTCTTGAAATCAATGTTATGGATCCTAACTGATTTTTAAAAATGAAATAGTTTATGAACTACTAGGGTAATATCATGGATCCTTAGCAACAAAGTCACTCTGGCTAACTGTGGTAACTTGAGAATTGCCATGGAGAAATGTTATACTATCAATTAAGAACAGGTGACTCCCTCTTTTCACTGGCATATTGTTTTATTTTCTGGCATATGATAGTAAATTTCAACATCACTGAAATGAGAGTATTAATGTTCATCAGTTTTATTTTATAGTAACTAAATTTCCAGTTAATTGTGAAGTATGAGAAAATTTATCTGTCAAAAAATCAGTAAAGATTTCCAAACCAAGTTTCTGTAACAAACTTTTTGTGTGTGGCAATATTCTAGTAGAGCTATTACTAGACACACTTAAAACAGAAGATTTTATTGAAAGGAAAAAGTATGATGAGGTAAAAAAATACAAAGACATGA